ATTGACCATAATCTTCAACGCCTGCTTCGACTTCAGCTATTTCCTCACCTCTTGGAAAGAGGCAACTGTCATTAGTATCCCCAAGCCTGGCAAGCCTCTCCACCTCCTCTCCAATCACCGTCCCATCAGCCTCCTCAGGGCTATGGGCAAGCAAACTTTTCAAACGAGTTATCCTCACGCGCATGAGGCGCCATCTGTTTCCCACAGACGGTGACCCTCTTATCGCGGAATGAACTCACTGCTACAGATCCGGGACAAGACCCAAAAGTCAGTTAGTGACTTAGAAGATTGGTTCTAAAAATGGCGTATCGACGTAAACCCGGAGAAGAGCTCCGCCGTTTGCTTCGACCATAAATGACGCCGTCCCACTGCCACTAAGCCAATCAGGATGTTAGGAACCCCTGTCCCCTGATAAACGACAGCCAAATTCTTAGGCGTCACCCTTGACACGAGGCTCACTTTTGAGACCCATATCAAGAAAGTAACTCGCACAGACACAGTAAAATGTCCCTCCGCAACAAATGAACCCTATATAAGGTCTGTATACGACCTGTTATGACCTATGCGACCCTTATTTTTGTTCCAACCATATAGCTATTTCATAAGAGCTATGATGATACTGAGGTTCTCTTAAGTAATATGAAATAATGTAATTTATTTATAACACACACACATACACACTTGCGTGCGCGCACTCACTCACTCATTCACACACACCCACTCACACACACGCACACACACGCGCGCGCGCTCGTATATACATCTTTGGCGTGACCATTATTAGTTTTTTATTTTAATTTTATAATTAGTTAGTACTCGTAATGTAAGTGCTATGGAAGAGTGGGGTCTCCTAACACAAGTTTTCATACTTAAAAGGGGACCTCATCCCCGGTTATAATTTATGAATGATCATTTACTGAGAAAACTATTTTAATTTATTATTAATTTATTTATTATTATTATTAAACCAAACATATATTTCTTTGCTCAATCTATCTTAGTATATTGTATTCCTGGATGTGATCGAGCCATCATCACAATATTTTCATTGAAATCCTTCCAGTATCTGCGTGAATCGTGAATACACACAAACATTTTAAAAATAAATAATGTTACTTTACATTTTTTTCTAATACCCCATAAACTGGCTCATTCCGAAAATAAAAACAAAAAAAAATAAAAAAATAAAATTGATTTATTTCAGACTTTTGTCCATAAAAATTGTTAATAGCATAAAAAGAGATCTTAAAATCTAGGTTAGTAACATTTTGGAAAATATTTATTCTAATTTAAATATCTGCCTGCACTGCGCGACACCACTGCAACATGTGTGTGAGCGTACACCCAGTGTCGCAGTATCGGACAGTCAGGCTTTTCACTGATTACCCTGAGAATGGTGTTGGCGCTCCCCCGCACCGTGCGCAGGAGGGATTCGATTCGCTTGCGCACTACGGTGTAAAACTCATCAGCGTGCGCCAATGCGAACATCCCTGATGCACTGCAGTAACTTGGAAGCCCCAACAACATTCTCAGACCATTATTATATTGTACTCGGAGAGCGTTGATAGCCCCCCGCGTGTAGTTGACCCATAGATTGCACGTATAAAGCGTTTGGCAGTATGCCTTAAACAGTGTTATTTTCACATCTGGACTGCTACGTGCAAATCTGCGAGGCCAATATGTTGCAGCGGACTGCCATCGCCCTCCTTTCCCTTTCAATATTCTTGTCATCCATCAAGTCCTCGATAAACACGTGACCGAGATACCTGAAGGATGGCACCCTTACAAGTTCGCTACCGTTAATTTTGACAGGCGGTACATACATCACCTTACGAGTCCTGGCTTTAAAAACCATCAACTCGCTTTTCCTAGCATTATACAATAAGCCGTGGGATTTTGCATACTCCTCGCATATTGAGATCAGCCTTCTTAGAGCAGCAACTGACGGACTCAACGGCACCATGTCGTCCACGTAACTAATGCTTTTTACACAGAGACCGTCAATGAAACAGCCGACACTGGCGCTGCCAAGCCTAACAATCAACTCGTCTACATACAAGTTAAAAAGCGTCGGGGAGGTCAAACCACCCTGCCTCACCCCACACTCCAACCCGTACGCATCAGAATGCTGATCCAACCATTTGACTTGGTTAGTCTGGTGGCCATACCAATATTTAAGAATATTTATAATCTCATCAGGAACTCCTGAATTTTATAGTTTTTTCCACAGGATGTCATACGTAACCAAGTCAAACGCCCTGGATAAGTCAAGAAAAGCCGCGTAAACTGGAGTCTTCCTATCCATATAATACCTGACAGTATGCTTGAGAGCCAGAATGGCGCACACAGTTTTGGCCCGAAACCGAATTGAGCGTCGTGCAGAACCAGGTGACGCTTGAGCTGTCTCTCAACCAGACCGTCAAGTACTTTTGCTGTGATAGTAGCTAATGAAATCGGACGATAGTTGGTCTTATCGGATATATCTCCAGTTTTATTCTTAACAATAGGAACAACGACCGATCTCATCAACTCTGCAGGAAGGTATGAGTGTCTGATACAGAAAGTAAATAGCATACCTAGTAACCTTGGGAGTTGCGGCCCAGCATACATGAAGTGCTCAATGCTGAGGCCGTCATGACACGGTGACTTGCCTCTTTTCATATCTTTAATTAACTGTTCAACCTCTTTAGCTGTCACACGTTTTGGCACGCCAGATACGATTACCTCAACATCAGCACCCCGTGCATTTTTAGCTGCGACTGCATCCTAAAATGAGAACTGAACAAGTTAGCTATATCTCTATAAATACCCTCAACGCTCACCGGTACGCTAGACTTCGGACTTAATTTCCTGGTGTTTCCAGAAGCTTCGAAAATCTTTATCTTTGTGATAGGTAGCTAAAATATTAATTTTAATTAATTCTTGATTTTTTTACAGAATTTTAATTTTTCCTTAAAATTTTTCCTGGACCTATACATATCATCACAATACCTATACATATCAAGACCTTATGAGGGTCATCCGTACCATACCCAAGTCGAAATTTTTTGCCTAGCGTCCTGGTGGGCGTCACGTACATATTTATTCCACCCGGCAATAGGTCGACCACCCCTCTTATTGCCTGCCCCCTGACTATAATTAAAACTAGTCTCTGCGGCCTCTTGGAGAGATGATAATGTGTCGCTTTGAATTTTTACATCCTCGCTGAAACTGTTAGTAAGGTTACTACTACGTACTACGTGGTAGAGCCATGCTACAGTTATATTAGTAGTATAGTTGTAGCACGAATGGGTCGGCTCGACCGGGGAAGGACCACGCTCTCACAGAATGACGTGAGAGTGACGTAAATAACGTAAATGATATATTATATAAAATATTTGAAAATACTGACCAATGGATGAAAGAGCATAACCTGGAAATAAACTACAAAAAAACAAAAATTTTGCCTTTTTACCCCTATCAAAAAGCGCCGATAAAAATTAATTTTTCTTACAAAAATACAAAAATCGAGACTGTAAATGAGCACACTCTACTCGGCATAGTTTTGGATAGTCACATCAACTGGAAATCTCACGTTCAGAAAATTCGTAACAAATTGTCTAGTTTTGTATATGCCCTAAGTGAAATAAAAAAGACAACTGACCTCCAGACCGCGTTAATTACTTACAATGCCTATGCACAGGCGTGGCTAAGGTACGGTATTATCCAGTGGGGTAACAGTACAGATGCAACCACCATCTTCATCTTACAGAAAAAACTAATTCGCATTATGTGTAACATAGAAAGAACTGCAAGTTGCCGTCCTCATTTTAAAAAACTTAAACTTCTTACCCTAATTTGTATTTATATATTGGAATTATGCAAATTTGTGCGAAAATACCCTAATTTCTACGTAAAAAGAGAAACTAAAATTACGGCTTATAGTTTAAGACACGGAAATAGATTATTGCTACCAACTTCTAAAATGAAGCTCTTTTCCTCAGGCCCTTACATAATGTCAATAACTGTCTATAATAAACTACCAAACTCATTAAAAAACGAAACAAATGATCATATTTTTATAAGACAATTAAAAGTGTTTCTAATCAATAAATGTTATTATACTTTATATGAATACCTGAATGACAAATGTAATAATGATAATGAAAACTATAAATAAATGAATGAATAACACGAATAATGATAGTATAATAATAAGGAATAATTTAAATATAATGAATAATATAATTATAATGAATAATAAAACATTTTTGCGTCCTCCTCTGTTCTAATTTGCTATACCCGACAGGGTCCATATTGTGAAAATTGAATATTATTAATTTCTACATTATGGAATGCAAATAAATATATTGTATTGTATTGTATTGTATTGAATACCAGCATGAAATAGTAGCTTAATGCTGCTGTATTTCGTATGGTGAGTGTAGAGAACCGGAGACCCTTTTTACTGAAACGAGGCATTCCATCTTAGTCCTCACGGGTGACAACGCATCTGCATTTTGATTCGTAATCGGGGATAGATGTAGATGTCTATGGGCCGCAGCAACCACTTACCATCAGGTGGACTGTGTGCTCGTTTGTCACCCTATCCTATAAAAAAAACTTACCTTAGTAAGCTCGTAATTCTACTTATTAACCCTGCTCCTATCTGATCCGCAGAACTGTGGCCCGAAAGTTCATGAAAAAACATGAAATTTTTGAAACAGCTTTTCTATTAAGTAATACTAAAAATATATAATAAGTATTATATACCTGGTATAGGTAATTTCTAATTAAAGTATTCAAATATATCTAAAAAAATCTTAACTAACCCTTAGCGTATTTCTGAAATTAACTACATGCATAAACTGAAACCGCTGAATCGATTTTCATGTTTACAATCTTACTGTTCATGGCAACGCTTTTGGTGTTGTGTTGTTATTCAGCTGTCTGAACTATAATATTTTGATGATAGTAAATACTCGTAATACAAACTATTATTTACTCAGGAGTTATAAGCGATGAGTGATGAAAAAAGTAAGGACGAAGCCGAAAACTGGCAGGATTTTGAAACTTTGTGCGATAAAACTACAGGCGAAGTAAGTTTTTTAAGCTACTGAGCGTACTATTTCCGTCTTTGTGTGTAACAATAACATTTTGTATTTAATAACATATTTTGGTGTTGGTGTGTAAGTATACTGTTAGAGGCCCGTGCCAATAACATCGTATGGGGCCCTCTCCCACTCAATATACTCGTAAAGTAGCTGAACCAACGTTAAAGTTTTTATTTTCGTTTTATAATAAATCAATACGTAATAAAGTTACATATAACGCTATTATAATTAGTTGATTTTCTAGTACATAACTTTTAGTTTCAAGAGCGTATTGCACTAAATTTTGTGTACCAATATATTTGCTAAAATTCGTCTTCATGGCATTGGCAAGATGGAATATTTGTTGTTTCTAACTGATTTTGCGGTTAATAAAGGAACAACGAACATAAGTTTGGTAGTTTTAGTGGTTATAAATGTCATAATTTTTGATTGGTGGAATCATTATTATGTTATTTTAAATAAATAAATTGCAATTGCTGATTTTAAACTTAACTACCGACGATGATCATCGTTATCATTATTACAACCACACAAATACACTGCTAAACATAGGCCTCCCTCAAAGAATGCTACAAAGCGTGGTGCTGAGCCACCTGCATTCATGGACTTCCTGCATGTCTAACCAGGTCGTCACTCTATCTGGTGGGGGTCGCCCTACATTTCGTCTACCGGCACGAAGCTGCTGCTCGAGAACCTTACTTTCCCATCAGTTGTCGGTTCTTCGAACTATATGGCCCGCCTATTGCCACTTCAGCTTGACAATCTGTTCGACTGTGTCGGTTACTCTGACTCAATTGCGTACATCCTCATTTCTAAGTTTATTACGCAAAGAAACTCCCGAGCATAGTCCTCTACATAGTCTCAGATCCATAAGTCATCACCAGCGGCGCGCAGTGGTTGTACAATATTGTTTTCATGCTTTGAGGTATACCTGACGAGAAGTTGTGTTGTAATCTGCCCAACCGAGTTAAATCCGTTGATTGACTTCTCGATCGAAGTTGGACTCACCTAGTCGGATTATATGTCGGATGAAGTTGTCGACGAGTATGTTTACCTAAGAAACACACTCATCGACAACTTCGAGCGTAGTGATCCCAACAACTACCGGCATAGTTGTTATACGGACGTAACACATGACCTTTGTGCCATGTTATTCTTAAGACCTATCCGTTGGGAGACACTATTGAGGTCAGGAGGTGAGGAGAAAAGTGGATACTGTACAATAATCGGAAGCGCTCGTCGCAGTGGTTGAACCCTGGAGAACAAGCCAAATCCTGCTCTATACGAAAATTGACTCAGAAAAAGATACTTGTGAGTGGTTGGTGCACTAGCGCCGGTATCGTTCACTACAGCTTTCTAAAATCTGGTCAAACGATTACGGCAGATACCAGATATCTATTGTCAGCAAACCATGAAGGAAGAACTAGCTGCTAAATAACCGAGATTGGTCAATCGCTCAAGACCACTACTGCTTCACGACAACGCAAGACCACACACTGCACAACAAACAACCACTAAGTTAGGTGAGCTACAATAGGAATGTCTGCGACATCCACCGTACTCCCCGGAGCTTGCACCAACAGATTACCATTTTTTCTGAAATTTGGACAACTTCTTGGAAAAAAATTCAAAATTCAACTACCGCATCGGTAGTCCAAACCGCCTTCAAAGAGTTTATTGATTCTCGCTCCCATGGTTTTTTAGTAAAGGGATCAATGAACTACCTATGAGATGGCAAAAGTGCATAGATAACAACGGTGCATACTTTGATTGATTAAATATATTTTACAAAAAAAATTGACTTTATATTCCTCCCGTACAAAACGCCAATTTCATATGTAAGGACCTATTACATTCTTTTTACAATAAACGTTTTCCCTGAATTAGGATTTTCTCCTGTATCGTGGGGGCGGCTTACGAACAAAAAACTACACTAGGTCATACATCCAGACCCAGAAAAATTATTTGTGGGACGTACAAATACTTGTGCCGTGCGGGATTCGAACTCGCGGCCCCCAGCGCTTGCAACTCAATGCTAAGCCACAGCACCACGGAACCGCGGTTTTGTAAACCTACCTACCTTAAATTAATTAAAGGCAACACTAATTAATTTTACTAAATGTTGCTAATAAGTTAAGATCCTCTTGCTCACGGCACTCTCGGACCGGGAGCTCTTCCGGCTGGGAGCCAGTGGAGTTTTCCCCAGCTAGCCTACCTTATTGTTACGCCAATGCGTAGAATTATTTTCTTCACTTTATTATTGTATAAATTAAACAAAGAAAAAAATCAGCTATTACGGGTAATATTATTTTTAGCCAATTAATGTTCAATTAGTTGGACTAAAAAATTTACTGAAATTCTGTGAATGAATGTGACTGAAATTCTGCCTGGAGAACATTAATAAACAATTACAAGCGCTGGTAGCACACCTTGTAATTGCTCATTATAAAATTTAATATCTACAAGCTTCGTTTCATTTTCGTAATAAACTATTATTTTATATGATATACCTAAAACTATGAATACTTTTTGAATAACCCTACAGAAGTATTTTCTGCAGCGCCCAAGGATACTAAATTTATAGTTCATGTTCCCTACACTGTTCCGGGACAACCGTACAAGTTTCTGTGGCATCCTCGTCGATACCAGTGACCTTGACACACGATGAATTTGATATGCACCAAATTTTAATATTGGATTCCACTATAAAATATTGTCCATCTCCAACAGTGCCACCTTCCTTACCCCATCAGACATCACCAATCGCAGTGCCATCAAAACCTGTCATATTTGACTTCGTCATCGTCATCCCACATACTTTCGTTCCATTTTTGGAGCCGCACCCACAGCATCGTTTCTATATCCGTCAGTTATCGTAACAAATTCCTCTTTTGCTAATCTCGTCCAGATTCTAAATGGTCAGGCTTCTAAATGGTTCATTTCCATTTCGCAGGTTCACTTTGAGATGTTTGATGATATTGATGGCCTATTGGATCCCTTAATTGCTATTGTCGTTAAGGAGGGCTTAGACACTAAATAAGTCACTAACTTAGACTTATTGGATTGCCCTTTTGGTAACGATCTCGGGCTTGTGATAGAGGTTAGTTTTATTTGGGATGACGTGGATCATTCGTATTTTTGATTATCGATTAAAAATTTTAACTTAAAACTCGTAACAACGACGACATAATCGATAAGATATGATAACATCTAATGATGCGAGGGAAATGCCTCCGCGTTTTATGTAAATTACATAGAAGAGTATCGCAAACCGGGCATCAACGTAAACTTATACAATCGTATGAAAATATCGTGACTTCCAATGAGCGTAGCGTATAACCCCAAGCACGCAACATTTTGTAGAAATACGTACCTTTAAAGAACAATTACAGCAGTCTTCCTTTACACGCCATGCAATACCGTTTTCCTTCTGCTTGATTATAAAATTGCATTATCGGGTTTAGTGTCATCAATATGTTCATTATTTATTGATTTTAATGTTTTTTGTTAGTAAATATGAGTTAAAATTTGCAGATGGAAATTACAGATATCGGAAATGACGTAATCACTTCCCTCAGAAGTGACTTGGCTGCTCTACAGTACAAAAGGGACAAGTTAATAACCGAAGTAAGCGTTATTATAATAAACTTGTAAATTTAGAAACTGTGTTATAATAGATTTCGCGTATCTTTGTAATTTTGCGAATTTAGCAGTATAATCTAAAATGGTTTTTAGGGTGTGAAGTACGATTCTAGCACAGAAAATTTTTTATACAGATAATACGAATTTTTAACGCTCTTTTTTGTTAGCTTTTTTTCTACTAGGTAATTCTAATTTGCTTCCACTTTGTCAATTATTTTGCTGTATATTATCTCAAAATATGTCATAAATCATTAGAATTATTAAAACTCTTAACTCTTAACTATATAGAACAGCGAGTTAAAAAACCAAATGTTGTCGAGAGACCAAAGGATTTTGGAGCAACAAGTTGAAATCGACCACCTACGAGAACAGAACGCCCGCCAAAATGCGATCATATCATCTCTTAAAAACAAAATTCAAGATCTCGAAGAGACTCAACGTAATTTACAAGCTTCACAGAGTAGGAGCGATCTCAGTTTGCAGACGCTACAAAGAGACAATCGTTACGCTGAAGAGAAAATAAAAGATTTAGAAAAAAAGATACGTTGTCTTGAACTTGAGTGTCACAATGAAGAACAACAAAAAGAGAATGCCAGATGCCAATTTCAAGATTTAGTCCGCCGGCTGTCAGCGGCTTTAGAATCAGATTTTTGTGACACTGCTCATACTCATTCACCAGAAAGCTTAATCATTAAAGCATCGGAGCTAGTCCAAGAAACAGCTAGACTCAAAAACAAATGTTTAAATACGACAGAAAATTTATCTACCATAGAACAAGATCTAAGAAGCTGCAGGGATAGTTTAGAGAGATCAAATGCCGACAAAGATATTTTGCAACGGCAGCTTTCCTCTCAGTTGCTTGATATTGAAAGACTAAAACAAGAAAAAGAATCTCTTGCAGTTCAAAATAGAGTTTTGGAAAGGGAATTACATGAAGCACGGGAAAAGCTATCTCATTGTACAAAAAATTTAAACGTTGTAACCGACAATGTTAATCAAAATGAAACTATGATTATACAACTGAAAGGTAGGCTTAAATTCGTATTTGTAAATAATGAAGTTTTTTTTTGATAATAAAATTGTATTAAACGTAATCTGCCCTAACCTACTTCCATGGAAATTTCTGATAGTTTTTTTATAACTGTAAAAATAAATATATATATATATTTAAAAAAAATATTTTTTTTAAATCGTTGGTCACTTTAAAATCATCTTCTTTAAAGTCGTGTACTTAAATAAAATAGAGAAGCAACAGAAACTCCATAATTATATTGTTATTTTGCAGAGGATTTGAGACATCGTGACGATAAATATCAACGACTACAAACAGAATTTCGTAACACGATGGAGTCAATAGCTATTGTCCTAAGTTTACCAACACGTTTCGTCGAGGCTCACGAGAGCACAATCAAGGATAGGATTCGTGAAATTTTAGGTGAAAATAAGGATAAGGCTGCAGTAAGTGGTTAATATTTTTAATGTTTTTTTTTTTTAATTTATCTAAGAGCATTTTCGCCATATAGGTTATATGAAGAAAATGTTGTATGGCTGTAACTTTACTATTTCATAATTCATCTAGTTCATTCCTTAGTCTAAGAATTATGCAGTAAATTTAAAATATTTTATTTTAAGAAGCTTTACATTTTTACTTTTAACTAATTCATCATCAGCCACACATATTCCAGTGTAATACAGAATTTGGTGAAAAAAGGTAAACCTTTCAGCCCGACATTTTCTTTACTCGAATAGTCCATTACAATTTAGAAAAAAATCTTTAAAATATTTTTAATGATGTTTTTAGCGTGTGGTGGCGATGTAAGGATATCCACTACCCCATATCATTCCGTGGGTGTCGTAAGAGCCGCAGAGCAAAACAATACAGGAGATGAGCGGTTGCCAACCCGCTTGCCGAGCGTGGCAATTATGGCAAATATCCTCCCTATGAGGCAGTCTATGGGGAAGGCCTATTATGTCTAGTAAGCTGTAACGGCTTCTGTTTGTCCTTCTGTCTTTATCGTTTTCTTAAAGGTTGCCTAATAATTATGATTTTCTCCTGTACCGTGGAGGCGTTTTATATACATAAATTGAACAAGGACAGACATCCGTACCTGGAAAAAATAAGTAGGTATAATATAAATGACGGTTCGCCGCCGCGGGGCCATGGATTCGAATCCCGCATAGAACAAGCGTTAGTACAACCTATAAGCAATTGCCCCGGGTCTAAATGTTAGTCTACGTTCTACAAATGTAGTTTTGCATAAACTACTCCACGATACAAAACATATCTAGTGTAGATGTAACATTTTTGAAAATAAAAATGAAAAACATAGTTGTATGGTCCACACTTGTTTTTTTCTTTTTTTTTTACTTTTTTTTCGAGATTTGAACCCGCAGTCTCGCAGCGCCGCAGCCAAAACGCTTAGTCAATGCAGTGCGGTATTGAATCATCACATAAAATATAATGAACATATACAAGTACTGAACAAACATAATCGATAATCTCCTCGTAAGATCAATACTTAACGACGTGGTATTTCAAATTTTAATTCTGATTCCATCCGACTCCGATAACCGTGAACTGGTGGTGAAAGAACATCCACTGTGCCATATCGTCCCGTTGGAGTCGTTCCACTTTCCCTTAGTTTCATCCTAAATTACTGAAAATTCTCTTCCGAAAAACAAAGTATGGTGCTCGTTTGTCACCCTTATTCTATAGTTCTCTACTGCCCTTCCTCCTTATATATATATATATATATATATATATATATATATATATATATATATATATATAAGGAGGAAGTGTATATATATAACGGGATATATATATATATATATATATATAGACCGTCTTGTACCTATATAATCCACTAAGTTACCTTCTGACACATGATATTTCGAATCTTGTGAATCCGACCGTCCCAGGTATAAACGCTCTGTGTATCCCGAAGAAAAAACCTTTCTACAACACACCCTCCAAATACAATAATCACACAAAAATAAATCGAGTTAGTCCTAGTCCCAGAGTAATAAACGCTCTGTGTACTGTGGTCCTAGCTGAAGTACCTGAAACATAATCGGTGATATTAATTTCATGAAGAAGTAGACCAAAATTAACTCTTTCTACTCTGTAAACTACAATTTTTATTTCCCTCCTTATTAAAACAATGTGTAATAGTAACATAAAAAAATCCGCTACCCCTTATCATTCTGTATGTGTTTCAAGAGGCGACTGTGGAATACTGAGACAGAATATGGGCAGCAGCATCTTAATAATAAAAAACTGCAATTGCCTAATAAAAAACATGGAAAATATATGGCGCAATCTATGTATGAGATTATATTCTCCACAGGACTTTTGATACAATTTATCCTATACTTTATAACTCATCATTCATATAAACGAAATATACAATTTAGGGATTTACGGGGTTGAAAAATCGATTGCTCAGGGCATCCTACATACCTCGGATATTGCATTAAGTATGTGCTGATTAATAACATATGTATAGATTTTAAGTTAGCTTTAATAGGATTGACATGTTAACGAACAAAAATCCCTAAATAAAACAAAAATAAAAAAAATCGATGTAGCTAGGTATCACTTCTGGAATATTCGTTTTCCCAGTGTCTAACGCAAAAAACTAACAAATTTTTCGAATACCTAGCAAAGTTACTATATGTTACATATTATATTATTACCTTGAGTAAACAAATGAGGCGTTCGATTAAATGATCGAGAATCGAGATAATGTCATAAATAAATGTTATAGAACTAGTCTATAAAAATACTTACGACTTGTATTTGAATTCCATAATAAATTTCTTACGTTTCCAGCAAATAGAAGCATTACGCGAAAAACTAAACATGGAGTCACAACAGTGCAGTAAGAGCGCGCATATGGCCGAGCAAGCTAACACCCGGATTCGAATCCTTGAAGACGAGAGGAACATGTTGGAGGCTAAAGTGCATAAATTGGAGTCCGAACTGAACGCAATGGAACATTCCCGCGATAACCTTCGTAAAGATAAAGCTAATGTTAGTAACTTATATTATCTCAATTATAAACGTAATGGGCAGCATTAAAACAATCAGAACAAACTCAGAAGGCTGCGCCTGCGAAGCCTGCGAGCGAACTTTTTATAAAAAAGAAAATTGTTGTGTTTTATTGTTACAGTTTGTAGCATTCCTCGAGCGTCTGAGCAGGACGCTAAATATGGATGAGTTGACCCAGGATGTCGGCATAGATCTGCACACTGAATCGATTATCCACCGGGCCGAGCAACTGGCCAGACTCGAGAGCGATAAAATTGTTGACAAGGTCAGTTTGTATGTATGAGAAAAATTTAATATTATCCGATTAAAACATTCGAGCGATTAGTTATTAAAATTGGATCCTGTACAGAATGGCGTATAAATGCGCTTTTGTTTTTTTTTTTGTTTTTTTAAATATTGAATACAATATTGTACATAAAAGAAACTTTATTGCTCCATATTTTCATTGTTGATTTTTCATATTGTCAGTATAGTTGATATTTTTGTTTTAATGTCCACAATTATTTTTAATATTTCTATAGTTTTCACTTTTTCACTTTCTTCTTGTTTTTATCAGGTTGCTGGCAATAACGTCATTGTTCACGTTTTTGCAGCATGATAATTTGAATCAAACTTTATCCCAGTCGCTTGGAAAGTTACCGTTGGGTAATTTACCGCATTTATAATCATCGTGCTAATCTTGTAATTATTTAGGGCTGTGAAAAGATATAGTCTGTCAAGGAAAATAAAACCCCTGATATGAAGGCGCTATTAATTCGTCTAATATTTTTGTAAATTTAGTATTCGTGATTGAAGAATTTTGTGGCTGTATCGTTTTAAAATAATTGTGTTTATTCATTACAGTAATTATTTATTAGTCGATAGAGGCGTACCTATAGACTTCAGATCTTCATCTGAGTCAATGTAATCGAAGCATCAATTAATCTTATAACAGGAAGCTTTTTTATCAGGCTGTTCATGTACAACCACAAAATAAACGTATTTTGTTCTTATTGCGATTTGATGCAAAAGCAGCAGTGCTCAACACAAGTGTGAGTTAGATTTATTGTCCGGACTAAACCCAGTGTTATTTTAATACGTGGTAGAGCCATGCCACTACTGTTTTGTGGTCGTAGCACGAATGGATCAGCTCGACCGGGGAGGGACCGCACTCTCAAAGAACACCAGCGTACAATTGCTGCTGTGTTTCTTACAGTGAGTGTACAACAGAGATCTTTTTTGCTGGAAACGAGGCATTCTGTCTTGGTCCTCAGGAGTGACAGCGCATCTGCGTTTTGATTCCCAGCCGAGGATAGATATAGATGTCTGTCATTCATATTCTATAAGAAATATTACAGGCTATATGGTGTGCCATGTTAGTCCTAAGTGCTGACAGCGGATTTATTCTTTGTTTAGAGTTGGCTATAGATATCATTTTATTTAATTGAACACTGTATCTACCACTAGGCGGTAGGATGTCTTTACTGCGTTACGTAGGAGTCCATTTGAGTAGATATCACCCTCTTTCCTATTTCGCGCGCACTTTTTTATTCCGGTCTGAATTATATAGAGAACGAGTATAATTACAACTTCTGAGGAATTACATCTGAGTCCTCAGAAATGACAACGCATCTGTAGCCTTTTTATTGAAGTTGGTTGCCACTGTCAATTGGCTGTACAGTAACTTACTTATCTTTAGACGGATGGTAAGTTTTTTCAGGCTTATTAAAAAAAACTATAATGTTTTAAATAAATAAATTTTTATCGTAGTTATACTAAAGTTTAAAAAAAGCAAAAATACATATAGTTTAACCAAAAATGGGCAGAAGTGTCTAATAATAACGGAACAGGGATGAGGAATGGGTACGTTGTGCTGCTTCAGTGTGAATTGTTGCACTTCAAATGTCCTTTTAAGACTTTTTTGTTAATTTCATCGGCATGTAGATTGCCTCACGATGTTTTCCCTACAGCTGAGGCCTTGGTAAATAGGTACTTAAAAATATAATCCCATCTCCACCCCCCCACCCCGGGGCTTAGTAGCCGTGGCTTGAAAAACCATGATTTCACGTGGTGGACTGAGGTGCAAAACCAGCCATCCAGCCAACACTGCACCAACCCGAGTGGGTTTGGTAAGCACACACTGGATGGGAATTTGACTGTGGCAGGAGAGGTCCTCTCATTCTACTACCCTCCGCAATCAAGATTGAATCACATGAAAAAAAGCGTGATTGATGTGACGCCGCGCTAGTGACACCCCGCGTCAAATGAAAAGTGACACACTAACAGGCTATTTGTAAAAAATATCTTTTAAATATATGAAATAACATCGGTGTTGGCAGCCCTGTAGATGGCATCTATGTTATGTTTATGTCGCAGTTGGCCAGTTGGAATGTAAAATAAGAGCATACTTTTCAGATGCGCCTTATTGGAAGAATGCATGTGTGTTCTTAAGGAATGACTAAATGCTTTAAATAAATTATTGAAAAACCATGATAAATGTAAATTGAGACTCGCCATATACTGGCGATGCAAGAAAATCTATGTGCTCACAGGTCCTCACTTTTTAGATCTTATAACACTTGAAAGATCTTATATTAATTGATAAATATATACTAGAATATATTTCGCATACAATATGTACACATAGGTTGTTATGAAGGAGGCACGAACGAGTTAACAGTAAAGGCAATGGTTTGCCGCGGGTTCGAAATAGTTATTTACACGAACTACATATAAATAATTGTACCGGGTAGGTATATATGCTTATTCAACGTGTGATTTATGTATGTAAAATGCCTTTACGATCAAAAGAAATACCTAGTGTGACTTTATTTCTATAATAAACAATAAACAATGTACCTACATAATAAATAATTATGTTTTTTTACTTACACTTTACGGCACGGACTTATTTGCCAGCAACATAATTTTCCTTTGTATTTTATTTTATGTGTAAGTGTATGTATATATGTATCAATGTGTTTGTGTAGCTGCTATATTATGGATACTATGGCACGCTGCCGCGTCTGCGCAGAGAACGATCTTTCCATGATTTGCCATATTTAAAGGAAGTAAGAAATGTAACCCATTGGCATGATTTCTATGACGTAGATTTTAAAATCAATACACATTATAAAAAAGTATGTGAAAAATTTGAAATATTGCACTGAAATGTGGAATTATAGGCACAGTATTTGATTTGATACAGCGAAAAATAACACTCAAAATACAACTCATGAATTAGTTACACGGTAGATTACTATGCACAATTTAGTTTAAGGTAATTATATATCTACAGGTAGGACTAGATTGGCGCAGCAGCAAGCTACCTAATAACACCAACATAAAACACCGGATATTGGTAAATCAAGATCCGTTAAATTTATATAGGTATAAGCCAAAGTAAGATTAAGTTACTTTCTCTCCCGCTTCCCAGGACAGAAACAATTTTAATGAATACAATTTTGGTAGCTATCACGAGAATGTGACATAAAGATATTAATGCTGTAATACTTAGTAGAAATGTTATCAAATTAGTTGCTTCTTAGGTTAATTTTCTTGTTTTTGTTAATGATTATGTATTATTGTAATATTGATTTTTGTAATTTTCGCATATAACGCAGTAATGTTTAGCAGTATATTCAATAATTTTGTATATACCAGAAATGATTGCCTACCTAATGAAAATGTTGTACTGTATAACATATTCTTACAATTGTATTTTTTTCATTAAGTTGACGAGATTGTATTGTTTTCTTTGCAGGAACCATGCTTTACAGCGCTTTTCGCGGTATATTTTTTTAAAAGGTGCTTTTGTTCAAAAAAAAATAACAATAAATTTTTAGCGCTACTGGGTTGAGATCAAGCGCCGCTGCCGAGGCCATGGTTTCAAGTTTCAACTGAGAGTTTATACAGGTTTACCGCTACATGAATATCCTCAGCTCAAGCTTACTTGACGAGTGTAACTATACAGTCAAACCTGACAGGTACAGCCTAGCGTGTTTGAGCGTGCAAAGCTGTGGCAGCTCAGGCGTTATAAAATTAAATTTGTATAGTCTAATCGATTTTCTGCAGAACTTAAGTTTCTATGTAAGAATTCTTATGAAAAGTAATAAAAAAAGCTAAATCGGTACCTACGAATCCCGCACGGAACAAGTGTATAAATGACGAAAAATTGTTCATTGTTTTGATGTTCGTTAGTTCATTACGCTCTCCAAATAAAATCTTAGTGTCGTAACATTTTTATATAATATATTAATTATAATAAAAATTGTAATTAATAAATAGTTTGTTTATTATAGACATCATTTTGTTGATGCTGAAACAGTAAAAGGTTTCGCCGATTTAGACACCGATTATTGTGTTTTACGTAAGCTTTGCTCTCTTTCTCATATTTGCTGCTAATTAATGGGCACATAGATGTGGTTTTTCGCATAGATGTGCTATAGTCAATTTGCTAATATAAGATTATAAAAACATATGTTTCGGTTAGGGACACTGCATGAATACTGGTTTTGGTACTAGAGTTGTAATTGCAATTTGGTTTCAAGTAGTTGGCTGGGCGTAGATATTCCCTACTGGTACTAAAATTTACCTGTCGTCCCACCGCTGTAGAGGAAGGTTGGATGGAGCCAGCGGTTTTCTCCGATCTGACGACACTCATCTATGACAAGGCTACGAACTTTGAGTATAGTGAGTTTAGAACAATTTTCTACCACCAATTGGTTACCAGAATCTCATATACCGCGTGGTGTTATTAGCGTTAAGGAGTAAAAGTTGACATGTTCATACTTAAGGGAGTAAGTTGTTTAAAAGAATCAGTGTACTGTTAAAAGCTACAAATCTCTTGTATTCATTTTATAAAGAATATTATGAATTGCAAGAAAATACAAACAATAGGCAAAGTGCGTGCGTTGTCACCTCTGAGGAGTAAGATAGAATGCGTTACAGCCTTTATTGACACTGGCTCTTTATATTTAGCTCCTTGAACAGTAATGCACTTCTGTTTTTCGACAGCAATATTTATGAGGCGATATTTTTAATGCTAAAAGAATCGAGTCTTCAGTTCGTCCTAGAACATTAGATAAATATCGTTCGAGCCTTATGTTGCAGAGTCAACTTTTGTCACTTTTATTTAGTAGGTACCACTTCAGTTTTACACCGCAAGTATACTCGCGGATCTGTCAATGATGATGATTTGTTAATCTTTACGTGTTCAGTTTAATAATATAATAAGTCTTTAGGATGCCGATGGGACTGTTTCGCTATTGTAGTGCATCAGGTATGTTTGCTGAGGCTAACACGGACAGCTATGATGCAAGAAATAATGCGGAGGAGAATGGCCTTCCTGATGCAACGCGGTTGTGCGGCACTGGAACACTGCTTGATTGTGGGGTCCAGAGTTTAATATAAAATAAGTTTTTCCTTTTTATATTCTTTGTATACTTGTTACTATCTAATGGCTGATACCTGCTCGCTTCGCTGTGCGCACGATAATTGACAATAATAACGTAGATATAAAATAACACGAAAATATTTTTTTATGGGGCTATCTTGAAATTCGTTCTTAGTGAGCGTCTACATTGCAAAATGAGTAACTATAATAAATTTCAAGTCAGTCGGGTGTATAGTTCTAAGATATCGTGATGAGTGTCGATCGTGGTGAGAGTCAGTCAGTGGTATTTCGCATATATATACACACATATATATAGAATATTACTAATAAAGTATAGAGTTTGAATCCAAAATGAAATCGTTATTACTAATAAGTTTGCAAGTTTGGAGGTGTGAGTTAAAGTGCCTACTCATTTACAGACAGCTGTCGTGTACCAGTTGCAAAGAAGAATAAGAATACTCCGGGAGCAAATTCAACGAAAGGACATGCATTTAGATTTATTACGGCGCAAATTGAGCGTACAGGTACCATTTATTTAAATGTCAATATAATTATGGCAATTAACGTAACGGAGATATCCGCAGTCGCACCAGAGTAACCGTCATAACCCAATGAATTAGTAAGCTGAAGTGGGAACTGGCAATGGGCCATACATAGAGTGGCAGCTTCGTAATGGTAAGCGAAGTGTATGGCTCCTCCACTAGATGTAGTAACGACCGGTACGACATGCCAAAGTCGATGGACGCAAGTGATTAAGGGCCGTGTTCCTTTACCGCCTAGCATATGGTAAATCAGCACTTAAACAATTTTCACACGAGGGCACGACCCCGCCACATCTCTCTCGCCTCCTTCACACCCAATTTCTCACGCTCTCATTCAGATTCAGCCCTAACGTACTTATTAATGACCGCATTTCTGCCACAACCAACTTTCACTACCATACATTAAAGTAGAGACTAGCACAGCATTCTGAACTGCCATACGTACCTTTTTTGACACACTGAAATTCCACAATAATGCCTGCTAAAATGTTTCCACATAAATATCTATTTTTATATGCCACGTGGTGGCGGTGCGTTAGAGAAGCGGGCACTCCCGACACTCCTTTGTCATCAATGAGTGTCATAAGAATCTACTATGGGAAATTCTAGAAAAAACTTTAGGCATTCCGATAGATGGCAGTGCGCGTATAAACATCTCTTCACATCGGACGAAAAATACTTAGCACCTGCTACGTCAAGGGTGCGAGACGTCTAACGTCCACAATTAAGTTACGACGTACTGTGATGACACATAGCAAACGTGATCACAATAGGAGTTCATGAACCACTTTTTTAAAGCGTAATACTTATTTAGGGCTTTCAAATTATATATTAAAAATAATTATGCTTTTTTGATGACATTGCGCTAGGAGTTTCAAAGAAGTTTTGTATGTATGATAAGAAAAGCAGATAACCATTTTAAATGTTGATAAAAATATTTAAATGTAAATGTTTTATTTACACTTAAATTATTTAAAAACAGTGTTTGGACTATATTTAACTGTTAATCAAGTTTTATTTGCTTTTCTTCGATAGTTATATTGAAATATAAATAAACATTGTATAATTTCCAGATAAGAATAAGCATTGTAATATAACATTACATACTCTCTCATATTCAGATGTTTAATATTCAATTTTACTGCAAACTAAGCCCTTTTTATAGAATAAGGCGACAAACGAGCACACAGTCCACCTGATAGCGAGTGAATGATATATAATATATATTAACCATAGACATCTACATCTTTCCTCGATTAAGAATCAAAATGCAAATACATTGTCATGTCTGAGGGCTATTATGGAATGCCTTACTCTCAGTATAAAGGGTTTTCAGTTCTCTATACTTAGCATACGAAACAAAGTTTGCTGTGTAATGGCAAAAGTAAAAGACGTGGAGGTCATGCAGAGAGAGCTTAAAAGTTATAGGATTCGCAATATTGCTGTATTTAAAATTGGCTGCTAAAGACTGCTTAAACTCAAATCCTAAATGCTATTATTTATTCTTATTTTAGTCAACTCCATGAAAAATATTATGAATTTAAGAACCTGGTTAGCTTTATGCCCATTATTCAATCTCGTTCGACAACAGATTCATACTTGTAGTAAGTCAATTGATGCTATTAATATACATACAAAATATATATATATATATATATATATATATATATATATATATATATAAAAGTAAAGTAAAAGTAAAGTTATAGCCTTTATCCGTCCCACTGCTGGGCACAGGCCTCCGCTCATTTCTGAGAGGGTTTTAGGGCAAGGTATTGTCCGCCGCGCTTCTCCAATGCGTGTTGGCGAACTTCACATATCTTCGAAATAATTTTTTTATTTCTCTGACATGCAGGTTTGTTTCCCCACGATTTTTCCTTCACCGCCGAGCACGTGGTAAATCAGCACGTAAAATTGCAATTAACATTGCCGGCGGGGATCGAACCCGGTTTGCTCGCGTACTGTGAAATTTACAACTAACGCTAACCATCTGAGCTACCACGGCTCTATTATATAATATAATGACATTTCTTGTACTCCAGAAGTTAGTGTACATAGATTTTTACCTGATACCCCCCTCTCGCTTTGCTGGGCGCACGGATGTAAAATATCCAGAAAAAAATTTTTTTTTGACTGGACTATCGTAAATTCCGTTCTTAGTGAGCGTCTACATTGCTAAATTTAAAACTAATCGGGAGTATGGTTTTAGAGACCTCGTGATGAATATATATATGTAGTATTGAGCAAGAAATACTGGTACATCTTAATATATATAAATTACGTGTCACGTTGTTTGTCCGCGATGGACTCCTAAACTACTTAACCGATTTGAATCAAATTTGCACACCGTGTGCAAATTGGTCCAACTTGAGAGATAGGATAGTTTTTTTGCCCATGAGTGACCCACAATTTTTTTTTTTGCAAATTCAAGGGTTTTTAATAGGACATGACAAAGGGTCATTGAAAAGAGCAGAACAACGTCTACCTGGCAAGCTAGTATATTATAATAATATAATATGTAAAAATTTAATATCAACATATAAATAGGAAGAGAGCTCTCGCGTGCGTGCGGTTCTGCAAGCGGAACGTGACGAGGCAATTTGCCGCAGCAAGAAGCTGGCCCGCCAATGTGATAAGCTGACTGCGCAACTGAGCGACGCCCGAGCTCAGATCAGAGACCTCAACGTACAGCTTGCTGACGCCGCTGAATACAAGGTAGGCTTTGTAGATATGTGTTTTAAATAGCATGGTTATAAAGATATCATAAATGTTTAAATGTTGAAATTATGTACCTACTCTCCCTGACGCCTCGGATATACGTAATCGACAAACGACGACGGACCTCCTCTATCACATGGAAGTAGCGAGTGCCCGCTATACTGAAGCGATACATCACCACTTTAGAATACCTACAGCCTGTTCAGAACGACAAATTCTCGCAGAACTACAACGATTCTTTCAAAGAATGAGTCGTGAGACTACTGAAAGAATAAAACCCCTATTTCAGTAGAGGAGATGGCTGGGCGCAACCCCCTGCTTGGAATCCTATAACTTATTAAATTAAATCCCAACCCAAGCATATCACTGCAAGATTTACAGAAACTGAAGTTCATTTTGTGTAGATCGAATCATAAATTGATAATTAAAAATATAAATACGTGTTGCAAAACTCAATAAATGCATTCAAGTTTTATTCATCAGTATTTCCTCTTAATATTAATGTTTAATGAACATTCTTTTCATATATATCAGATATTAGTGTCAATATAAAAATAATGAACCAGATTAAATAACAGCGAGTAACGTCACCTTGACAATTTGAAGTGAAGCCCAACCTCACCGCTTCGCACTCGAGGTGTGCAATGTAAATTAAACACAATAAAATCCGTAAAAAAAATAGTTTCATTTAAAGAATAAGTGATATATTTACTGGATATAACAGAATAACCTTATTTCGACAAATGAAACAAGTCAAAAGTACTTGCAAAGGTCGAACAACTATTTATACCGCTTATACGTGACTTCAACGGACAGTTAACTCCAAGGTACGTGTATGGGTAACCGCACGTCAAGTGCAAAGCCCACGCAATACTAGTCAACTTAGATTTTTCTTCGGTCTATTTGTAAAATCTGAATAAAGCGACGCTTATACTGCGGAATTCTTTATAAACGAAATAGAAAAAAAAACCGTGAGGTAAAAACTTTAATTAACAACCGTGTATTAGCGGTGTTAGAATATCCACTACCCCTTATATTGCAGTGGGTGTGGTCAGAGGCGACCAAGAGAAATAAACCAGGATATGGGCAGCAGCGTGTTCTTGATAATATCCAGAAAATAAAAAACTCGCCTGCCCAGTGAGGCAACTATGGCAAATAGCCCACTTATGACGCATCTACTGGGAGACTGCAATGAATTTTTATTGCCTGTAATGGATAATTAATAAATGATTCGCATGCAAGAGACAGAAATAATTTCGTTTTTTTTTATAAATAACTAGCTTTGCCAGGCAGACGTTGTTCTGTCCTTTTCGACGACCCTTTGTGTGGGTCACTCATGGGCAAAAAAACTATTCTATCTCTCAAGTTGGACCAAACTGCACACGGTGTGCAAATTTGATTAAAATCGGTTAAGTAGTTTAGGAGTCCATCGCGGACAAACAACGTGACACGTAATTTGATTTAAGCAGTCTCCAAAATGTGTTCATTAATTACTTAACCTACGAAATAAAATTTTACGCTGCACACACGGTGGACAGTGAATTAAGTAAGTAGCCTACATCCTAAAGTAGAAAAAAAACAGAACAGTTTTAAGTTGTTGTCCGTCTATGTGCGTGTGTTTCTGGTTACACTGGTAACCAATTCCTCGGTTTTGTTATAGTCAAGTATAAGTAAAAATCTTCTTAATTCTTTTGTACATTTATATTTATTAAGCTTCAAAATGATAAGGTTTCCGCTAATTTTATTATAAACAAAGCTTCCCTAAAAGATATAAAAATGTTTAGCAAATTCGGTTCGGAACTACGAATTTGTTTACATTAAATATCTTTTCTACGTCTTTCGGCGCCTCTACACGTTGGCCAACACACGTAAGGCGACATTTAAAGATATGTAAACTTACGGATCATAAATAATTTCCTCCTGTTTTTTTAAATAGTAAGTACTAATAGTATAATGTCGCCTCTACACGTTGGCCAACACAGTGGCGAATGAAGTGGCGAATATATTGGCCGAGAGTTGGTGACGGCGTCCACACGTTGGAAGGTCGTTCAGTTTACTTCGGTTCGGGCCAATGTGCGGACGAACGACGGCTCCGTGGCGCAGTGGCTTAGCAATGAGTAGCTGCGCCGGGGGCCGCGGGTTTGAATCCCGCACGGAACATGTATTTGTATATCCTACAAATAATTGTTTGGGGTCTGGATGTGTGTCCTTGTGCAATTTATGTTTGCAAGATGCCTCCGCGATACAGGAGAAAATCCAAGTGGGGGTTACGTTTTTATAAAATAATTATAAACGAATACTGAATATTAATGGGGCTGTAAATAGAAATACGATATACGATTAGCTTTATTTATTCTTTACATGCATCATAAACTGGAATAAATACCATTAATAAGAACTTAACTTATTTTAAAGTTAAAAGAGTTATAATCAATTATTAGTCTATGTTTTAAAATTGAGTTTTGATTTTAAAGTTTAGCAAAATATGTACTTGCATTTCTATCAGACATTTGATGTATATAAAACACCTTATAATTTATTTGGTAATTTAATTATTTTTTGAGAAAGACAAAAACAGTAGCAATAAATATAATTAACACTGACTTAATAATACGTACTAATTATAACTTAGAACATAAATGAAAAACTCATGACAAGGAAAGTGGCTCAGGACCACGCTTTGCGGCAGTCTTTGGAGGAGGATGTTCAGTAGTGGACTTGTGAAGAGCTGTAATGATGATGATGATTCGAAAACTTGCACGATTGAATTATATGAAGTCGACGTTTTTTTTATAGGATAGGGTGACAAACGAGCACACAGTCCACCTGATGGTAAGTGGTTACTGTGGCCCACAGACATCTACATCTATCCTCGATTACGAATCAAAATGCATATGCGTTCTCACCCGTGAGGACTAAGATGAAATGCCTCGTTTCCTTTAAAAAGGGTCTCTGGTTCTCTACACTCACTATACGAAACACAGCATCATTAAGCTACTATATTACGCTAATATTCTGTGAGAGCGTGGTCCTTCCCCGGTTGAGCCGACCCATTCGTGCTACAACTATACTTCTAATATAACTGCATGGTTCTACCACGTATAAACGACGTGCTTCATTTTTTTTCATTTTAAAATTGTTCTCGTAATAATCTGATTGTAATTAAATGTTCGTTATTTTTTTGATAAATAGTTAATCGATTAAAAAAAATGTTTAAAAATAATTAAATCGCGCTAATTAAAGTAGTAGGAATGTTTAAAGTTGAAATTGGCAGTAAAAGGCTGGAAATGGGGGCATCCATCCTACAAAGCTTGAATATAAAATTTAAATCAGATGCGTGTAATCACTCTGGGAGCTTGTAGCAAACTAAACGCGCGGCCAACGTGTGGATGCGGCGACCAAACTCTGCCAACAATCCTTTGATCTTTTGTAAAAAACCGACACCACACGGATCTCGCGCCAACTTGCGGGCCATCGTTCCAATACATACCAATGAAGCCCAAACACCCCGTCTACACGTTAACCAATGCTATTGGCCACTACATTCGCCACTGTGTTGGCCAACGTGTAGAGGCGCCGATAAACCAAATAGTACCAACACAAAACGCTGTCTGACGCTTAGCACGTCACAGTAATCATATAGGAGTGTGATTGGATATAAGGTTAAGATTTAAGGTTCGCGTAGTGTATATTTTCTTTATTTAAGGTAAGGTGAGGGGGTAAGGTTTTAAAGTGCATTCCTTTAGAACAGCCCGTTGAGCCAATTCTGCATGTTTTATTTGTTTTTGAGATCCCCAAACCGTTACGCCATTTGTTGAAATTGATTGACATATTGCTATACAAATACATTTAAGTAACGTTAGTTCCAGAATATGTCTCTAACTCTATCACATAGAATCTCTAAGTGTGTTTTAAAGTTCAGTTTATTATCAATTATCATTTATTACACCAAGATATTTGATGTTATTTATATGTTTTAAGCGGTTTTCATGAACACAGATAAATATTTTGATGATCGAAGTTCCGGGAGTTGCGAACCATTACGAATGATCCCTTGGAGGTATAAAAAATCCAAGCATCTTAGTCTACGAAAGATACGACTGTAAAAATAAATATCACATATTTTGATATTCTCAAAATTACTCATCAAAACCGAACTTCGCATTGACCTAGAATCATAAAATTTGGCAAAATGCAATGTTTCACGGCGCAAGTAAAGAAACGAATTCGAAAACCCTAAAATATGTAGTTACGCTACATAAACATATTTTTTGCAATTACAAACTTACATTTGCAGTTGAACTATCGGCTGCACAATCACTGCAAAGTAAAGTTTTTTCTTCAATCTAACTTATCTTCTCGTTAGAGCAATGTTCGGTGTTTATAATTTCCTAATTTCAGTAAGTTAATCATTTAGGTAAAAGTTAACTCTGTGGGTGTCGTAACAGCGACAGAGGGAAGTCAACTAGGAGATAGACAGCAACGTTTCCCGATTAACAACAAAAAACTGCAATTGCAAACCCATCTTTCGAGCGTGGCAACTAGGGTTGTCAGGTCTTAAAACCAAAAAGCCGGACAGACCAGCGAGCTTAGCCGGACATTTAGGTAAAAAGGCGGGACACCCTTATTTTTATTTGTCGTAGTAAAAGATATTTTTTTTAAATAAACCAATGATTTTTCTCATTTACCATAAAATCTTCTTATGTTCTTATGAAATAACAACAATTTACCGGACAGCAATCCATCTCCTAGTTGGCTTCCTGCTGTCGCCTGTTACGACACCCATTTGAGGGTATCAAAATATGTGATACTTATATTTTCACCTTCAAGGGATCATTGGTGATTGTTCGCAACTCACGGAACTTCGATATCATACTTGTACTGATCAGAATATTTATCTGTGTTCATGAAAACCGCTTAAAACATATAAATGGTTTTTTTGGTTTGGGGATCCCAAAAACGTGTTCAGTTATTATACAACCATATTATTACCCGAA